CATTATAATTAAAATGTAATAAAAAAATATATATATTGTTCACGATAATCCAAATATATAAAACAAATATTATAATAACAACACAATGTTCAAATACATGAAATCTTAAAAATATGAAACAAATCCTAAAAATAAATATAAAATAATAATGATATATATAAAATACTAAGCCCTAAAATCTGAATAATGATATTTATTATATTAACATTAGATATTTTATTCATATATTTCGATGATACATAATTTTTCGTTATTTTACAAAAAATATTATTATACATTTACGCTCCTAATGTATTAGAACTAAAATATATTTTTAAATAAATTAATATAAATAATTTCATCCATGTAGAACTTTATTTTTTCATGCAACCATTATTATAAATATTTTTATCTTTCAACCCCTTTTAATATTTGATATAGGACAGAACGATAGAAGCGAAACATATATTACATATATGTTTAGAGATATATATCTTTACATATTCAAATATGATAAATTATGGGTTTTATATTGAATAAATTTCCATATATATAAAGTTTATTAACGTTAATTTATAATAAATATATTAATGAATATCGTAAATGTTAAAGTGTATATATATAAATTAAATTATAATTTACAAATAAGCAGATATTATTTCATAAATAGGAAAGCAGCATAACATAAGAAAATTAACTATAATACAAATATTTCTTTTTTCAGTTTTATTATATACTATGCAACAATACACAAATCATATAACTTGAAGAAACGAAACAGAAGGTACCATAGAAGCAAGGTTAACATGTGTTCAGATTATTTAAATTGCATGAATCTTTTACGCTAAATATCTGTACATCTTATACTTGGTATGTACTATACTATAAACCAATTCAATTTTACATATATTCTTCAAGATTTGTAAATTATACCAATTTATATTATTTTTTATCTCATCTATTTGTATAATTAATGGAAGATTTAGTAGAAATATAAAAGCATCATGTTCTAGAAGACTATGGAATAATGCATCATGTCATTTCTTTTAGATATAGCATATGTAGAAACGGAATCACAAATATTTTTACTTTTATTCACATTCATGCCATTAATAATGTAATATATACTTTCACGACAAACTTCCATGGTCTTTTGAATTCGTTTACATGTATTTTTAAAATCATAAAATATTCTAAAAGTTTAATAAAATTTATGTTTATTGAATAACATATTGAAAGTAACATAAATAATATGACAGAACGATATACTCTTTGTTAGTTTAATTAATAAATGTTTTCTATTGTAATATCAAAATATGTATTTTAAATGACTTCCGTGCACATGTATATGCACATATTTAAAGGAAGTATTATTGCTATATATAGTTTAATTTTACTTCAATATCTCTTTTCTCCTGATTATAGTGTCCTATATAAGTATTTTTAATGAATTTTTCTGTGATAAACAAAGGAAATTTTTTTTTTTATATATTCTTACGCTTACATATGAATATTCAACATTGTAATAAATTAAACTACTAAAAAATCAAATATAAAAATCCATATATATGTAAATGAATATTGTGATAGATTCATTATTAGCTACTAAGATATAAAAAGTATACATAAATGATATAAGATAGTAAACATTGTGCTTAAAAAAAAAGGGATGGTACAAATACTTTTAAAGGTTTCACCAAAATTCAAATGCATGCATCATATATGATTACAGAACATTATATCACGCATATGTTTAAAATAAAATAGAAGCCAGAATTAATGCATCATTATATATATAATTTCTTTATTATCATTTTTTTTTTAGGGATTATGCTTAAAGGTAAATTTTTTGAAAGTTTGATTTTTCAGTTCATGTAATTATGTTATTGTCAGAATATATATATACAAGAAATACCATTACTGGTAATATTATACTTTAAACTGTTTTCTATAGAAAATAAGAAGAAATAGAATTCTGTAATCCAAGGTAATTTGTTTTCATTATTTACAGAAAAATTATTTATTCATTAGAATGTCGCATTATGTACGTGTCGTTAAGAATTCCTTTTTTTTTTTTTTATTATACATATATTTTAAAATATACATGGGTTTATATTCCTCACTTTAGTCTTAATAATAATTCTTTATGAATTTATGCTATTATTATATTTTATAGTATATTATATAATGTAATTAAACTATACAATTGTATAAATTAGCTTGCACAATAATTATGATGAACAAATAATATTTTATTGAATCTGAAATTAGTCTACCATATAGATATAATATGATTAGAGAGAATCTAATTAATTAATGAAATATACTAAAAAAATATTTTATATATATGTATAATTTATTTATTCATCTTTATATTTGTTTATTTATTTATTTTTTATTATATATTTATTTATTATATTTTATATACTCTTTATAAATACTATTGCAATATTCTTGACAAAACATGTTTTTATTTTATTTCCATTATAATTTTTTTCTACATGAAAAGAAATATGCCTAATATAAAATTTCTACACTTTCTGCTATATCAATGCTATTTAATTAATAATATGAATTGAAAACATCAGTATGTGTTATATCCTACAAAATGCTCTTCTCGATACTCATTTAAAGGATAGTCGTATTCTGATGTATAAGAAAAAGTAGTATTATTATCTCCCTTTTGATTAATTATAGCATTCTTTAACCTTCCAATGGTATGATGTAGTCTCTTTCCTAATGGTGTAAACTTGCATATAAAAGTATAATATAAATTATATTTATTATATTAATATATTATTATTTTTTTTCTATAATTAATATAAAGTTCTAACTAATTTATATTAATAATATTTATTAATTCTATTTCCATGTACTTTGTATATAATGCCAGAAATCATAGTAATCATTACTACTCCCAAAATAGATTTACCAAACGTTTTTTCTCGGCTGTAATTGTCGTATATTGCATATGACTCTCCAGGTGTATAAGATGTTAACACTTTAGAATGTTTTAGTTCATCTACAAGCGATTCTTCTTGAATTAGTGTTAAACCTTGTTCTTCTCTCTGTTCAGGTAAACCACTTTTTTCCTCTTTTTTTTCTTCTTGTTCTACTTTTCGTTCTTCGTCTTGTTCTTCTTCTTGTTCTTCTTCTTTTTCTTCATTTTCGTACCCTGAAGGCTTGTTTCTCTTCTTGATTTGTGAATAACAGTCAAGCTTTTTTATCACTTTCTCGGGATCAAAATTTATACATTTTGCATAAATATCTGGACAGTTATGTGAGCTAAGATATGGACAAAGTTTTTTAAAATGTTTATATACATCTATTTTTTCTTTAATATAATTATAATATTTTTCACAATTAACTTTATCAGATTCATACATTTTCATAATTGTATTATAGTCTATGCAATAATCATAAAATTGTTTTCTCTTTTCGAATTCGTCCTTCATACGATCATTACGATCAAGGTCACATTTTCCAAAATTAAATTTACTTTGTAAAACCATAGCACGATAACTTATATCCTGAATTTTATCGAAAATATTATAAGCTGTATTTGTGTCTTGCTTTAACATTGATAATAATTTTTCATATAACCAATAAGAAAAAAGATTACAGTGATCTCCTAGGATGCTTGACTTTCTCCATATATCATCTTTTTTCTTTATATAATTAACAAACTTTGAACAAAGATTAATATATTCATTATTGTAATTCAATGTACCCTTATATAATATACAAAATTCACCCATACCACTTAAATTAATAGATTTACTATTTAATATTCCATAAAATTTTTTTGAAGGCAATTCACTTGTATCAATTTCCTGAAAATTAAAAGTTAAAAATGAATTGTAAAAGAAATGGAACATTTGTATATTCAAAATAATTACATTTTTTTATTTTTTAATTCATGGAATGCATAATATTCACACAAATAATAATATGTTATAATTAATAAATATAAATTTAAAAGTATCCTAACATTTGCATATGTAAGATCTATTTTGGTAATATATAATATATTTAATGTTAGAAATTAAACTATTACAAAAAAATCCTTAGTAACTATATAAAAAATTTATTTATGTTTACATTATATGAGAATAAAAAAACAAATTGTACAAAGTTATATGTATATTATATCTAAAATATTATATTAAGCTCTATAATTTATACTTCAGATATAATATTCAATTATTTAATCTAAGTGAATTATTATCTAATTTTAATACTTGGAACTGAGAGTGTAGGCTTTATTTATTAATTTGTTATAATAAAAAAAAATTATAGATGCTTGTTATGATCAAACATATGAATATACCGGCATTATATAAAATATAATAAATAATATTAATGCCTGTTTGAAAATAACATATTGTAATAATTAATATTAGTGGGATTCCTTTTAGATTAATATTATAGTTATATATATATTTTTCGATAACATTCATATATATATTATGCATAACTTTTTAGTATAATATAAGTTAATTCTCATATAATAGATATAAGTTTATTTCAACATATAAATAAAGAAATATGTAAATTAAAATAATAATTTATATATTAAGGTATTTTAATTGCTACATTTCTAATAAATGGTTCATTATTACATCATATAATAAAGATATTTAATCAAATAACATCGGATTATGGTATTAATCATATATTCTATAATATTATGAATTCATCTATATCATAAATTAAAGAATATTCAAGAAACAATAGATTTTTACTATAATTTTAAGTTTAATTTTTTCATATTCCTTTATATATCATATGTTAACTAAAATTTTATTATCTCTATATTAGCCTAAAATAATGTCAAGTGTAAAACAAAATAACACACGTATAATATATGCTCCATTTCATGGACAAAAATCATAATGATATTAACATTAATGTTGCATCCTATTTACACTACATAAAGTTTTATAAGATACTTATTTATTACTTCCCTTAATTGTTTCTTAAAATTAAAGCATAACGTATTATATATATATAATAGGATACATCAAAATAACCTAAGTTAGTAAATTTATAACTCTTTTGAATAATCCATTTTCTTAAGAACAATTTAGTATGTTTCGTATTAAAAAATAATATTTATAAATAATTTATGGCATAAATATATAATAACTACTTCGCACTTATATAAATTTTATAATATTCAGGAATAATTATATGATGATAAACTTGAATATTTAAGATATATTTATTATATTATTTCATTTAAAAATCAATTATATTCTGAATTCAGAATTTGTTACTTTGTATTTAGTCATATGTTTATCATTATTCAATAAATATGTAATTATTTTTTGAATATGATTTAATTTTTAGGTAAGTTTCATACCATTAATTATATATGCTTAGGGGATAACTTAATTTATTTCTTATTATATTATATTAATGTAAGTGTAATAAGTAAATAAATATAAAAACAAGTATTTAACTAGTTATTTGTATGCAATTAATCGTTAAACCATCATAGATTTTAGCATATATTTTATTAAAGATTATTTTTTTCTCAAATATTATTCTTCAGTAGAAAAGTTTAAAAGAAGAAAAATTGTGTGTATATAAATAATCAAAAGAGCATATGGAAAATTTGATGCATTAAAATAAAAATAAAAAAAAAGTCTTCAAAAAACTAAATAAATATGTAAATATATATCATTCTAAGTTTGATTATATAGAAAATGCCTTTTACATCTAATAAATATTTAATTTTTAACAATATTATTCGTAGGTATTTTAGTAATTACTATTTTTTATCATCAGTATAATAAACAAAATATATATCATTTTGTTCAAATCAATGCTGTGATCTTTTATTTTAAGAATCACATGTGTTCTATAGTCTGATTACGTAAATTGTGGTTTTTTTATATTTTTTTCTACTTATATGTTTATACGGATAAATAGATGAATGGATTAAATATATAGCATTTAGTGTAATTATTTTATTAATACAAATAATGAATAAAATAATATATATATAATGCATAATACATGAATATAAATAATATAATATAAGTGTATTTTTATATGTGTAAAATGATGTAATATTCTGACCAACTCAAAACAAATCATTGAATATTAATTAATAAATAACAATATATATTCTCACTATAATTGATGTTCTCTATATTTTTTAATAATATTGTATAATACTAATATATAATATATATATCCTTTAACTTGTAGTAATTATTTCTACAAAATTCTATTTCACATTCATTTATGAGTATTAGTGTATAGGGTTTATGCTATTAGTAATTATTTTCTTTTTTTGCTTGTCTTGATGTGCTCTAATTAATATTAATAATATTGATTTATTTAAATTATATCATACATTGATACGTAGCATATATGTATTTTTCCTTTCAACATAACAATTAGTATGTATTTGAGACACCATTTAAATGATTTTCATAAATTCCCTCATATATATTCTTACATATATATTTCATACACATAATAAAGAGTTTAATTTTATAGCATATTCATAAAATACATTAATTGAAATAGTATACTAATCAATTATATATTACATATTTTTTCTATATATATTTCTAGCATGTTATTTTTTTTATTTCCAAATTCTTAGATATTTAATGAAATAAGGAAACCTACTCAAAAAGCATATATTAATGTTTAAAGAAATTTATTTTATACTTTATCTGTTTATAATTGAAAATGAAAATGCTTTTTATATGTTTTATAAGTATTATGTTTTATGTCCAATATATTAAGCAAAATAATATTTGATCAATTTGTCGTAAAAATGTATTAGTTTACAATATAATATTAGCAAAATATTTTTATTTTTTAATAATATATTGAATGTAACAATTAAGTGATAATTATCATCTCTATTTAGGTATAAATTACATTACATATTTTTCGAATTTTACTGCATATAACGCTTGATTTGTGCTTGTAATAATGAAATGGACAATATAAGCTTATGAATGGATCTATATTTTGCATAAGTCATTGTATTAAATCTTATAAGATTTATTTTATATTTTTTAAAATAAATTTTGAATGAATTATTTTTTATCTATAAATTATTAAACGATATTAATTACTTCATATGATTTATAATTTTCATATAATATATGATCAATTGTAATTTATAATTTGTTTATAACCTAATTAACATGCGTTTTATAATTCAATACATTAATTGTACGAAAAACATATTTTTATTACATGAGAATATTATAATTATTACTAATTTATTTCGTCAAAATGAGTGTAAATTATTTCGTATTTCTTTTTCTTTTTTTTCATTGTACATATAGATTTCCCCTTATACATCCGTTAAAATTTTATCTTAATAAAAAACCATATAACTTTTTAAAAATGCAATATGAACATTTTATACAAATAAATATCACATTTTTTATTCGTTATAATTAATATAAAGTATGATATTGTGGAATATCAAAAAATATAATATGTTTAGACAATTTTTATGCATTATATAATATACAGAAACAGTATTATAAACAGTGTATTAGGAAGAAACGCAAAAACTAATAATTGATTTACATAATATTACTCTAATAATATAAATTATATTTGCATTTCTATGAAAAAAAAAAATATAATATATAATTTTTCTATATAGGTTCATTGATGTAATTATACATAAAACTAATATATAATATATTTCTTTTATCATGTATTAAGCTTTATTTTAAATTGTATAGCATAATATCATACTTAAACATATGATTAAGGCATCCACTAATTTTTATGTATAATAATCTAGAAAACAGTGAATATTATATATTAATCCTAGAAATTCCTATTACTAAAAGATGTATAATGTTATTTTATTTTATTTTTTTTTGACGAATGTACAAAGAACTACCTGTAAAAGTTAAAGTTCATGGGACGTTCTTGATCTATAAAATTATACTAAATTCTTTATATATCGAGAAATTCAATGTACTGTCCTTTACTAAGCACGCAGAAAAAAATTTTCAAACCACATATAATGTAATGTATTTCAACAGAACTCCTAAAATGCAAAGAATGTATAATGAATCATTAAAAGGATTTTCTAAAAATTTCATAAATCTGTTGTTTAATATGTACAAAAACAGATATGAAAAATATATTAGTGTTCATGGTTTCAGCGTTAATGGTTCAATGTTTAGGCTTATGGTTTGGTTTTTTTTTTTTATGATATAGTGTTTAGATTTTAGGCTTTTTGTTTTATATTTAATTTTTGTGTTTTCTATTAATTTATATTTTTATTCTTATAGTGATATTTATATATTTACACAATTTTATTTGTTGGCTTTCGTCTTTTTAAAATGTGTTTTTATGATATATTACTTACTTATGTGAACGGAGAATATCTATTATATTATGATATGTGTTACTATTAAAGATAATATATATACTATAATTTTATGTATAATAATTATTATTGACCCTTTATGAAAATAGAATTTTGCGTATCCTTTTGATATAGATAATGTATTTCATTGATATATATGATAATTTATTGTACATTCTGAATAATCGTTTCTCTTTAAATTTTCTTTAATGTAATTTTTATGATTTTATTCCATTTTTATATATTTATGTATGTATTTTCTTTTTCACAATCATAATTCTCGTCAAAACTAACATTTACTAATCCTTCTTTATCGTTCATATTAAAAATACGACCCCCCCTAAATTCTTCACGTACAGAATCATCACCTATCTTTTTCTTATCATT